TGTCTCCCGTCTTCAGCAAGCGCCCCACATAGGCCGGTGGCCGCCACCTCCAGTGAGCTCCCGTGCGGGTCGTCTGCGGCAAAACGTCTTTGCTTGTGTTTTGCCCACTTTCTAAGAGGATCGTTTGGTGGGATTTTTTTGTTTTATTTTTAGGTTGAATTTTATAGTTCTTTAAAAGTTTAAGATGTTAATTCTTCATCATATTTGTGATTCACAAATAGTTCCTTCCATTTCCAGCTTCTTTCGTTCTCTCAACAGGGTATTTTGCAGAGCAAACGTTTTTAATTCGGAGGACGTCTGTCCTGTCCATTTTCCTTTGCGTGTCCCACTTTGGTGTCATGCCTAAGTTCTTTATCACTTTAGGTACCGAGTGCTCTCTTCTGTGTTTTCCTCTGTGTTTTGTACTTGTATGTTTTATGTTTAAATCTGTGATCCATTTCTTGTTGTGGTTAATACACAGAACATAAAATCTGCCAGGCAGCTGTCGTCAGCTTGTGATTCATTGACATCAAGTAACAGCCATCACCCCAAATAGAAACCGTACCCACAAAGCAAAATCTGTCCCTTCCATGCTCTCCCAGCCCCTGCTAACCTCTATTCTGCCTTCCGTCCCCCCATACTTAACCTCTCCTGGGTATTTTGTGTATTTACTGTCACATTCCTGACCCAAGGTCATGAAGATTTTCCTGTGTTTTTTTCCCAAGAGTTTCCTGGTGTTAGCTCTTACATGGAGGCTGTGATCGATTCTGAGTTAATCTTGTAAGTGGCTTGAGGAAGGGTCCAACCTCATTCTTTCCAAGGTGGCTGTGTAGTCTTCCCAGCACCGTTTGTGGGTTAGACGCCCTTCCCTGTTGAATGGTCCTGGCGCCCATGTCGAAAATCCCCCGCATGCACGGGAGGCTCCATTCTTCTCCATTGTTCTCTGTCTTATTGCCAGCAGCAGTTTTGATGACTGTCCCTTTCCAGTAAGTTTTGAAATCAGGAAGTGTGGGTCCTTCAACTTTGTTGTTCTTTTACAAAACTGTTGGCTGATCTCAGAACTTTGAGATGCCGCACAAGTGTTGGGCTGTGTTTAGCCATCGGGCTGTTGCTAGGGTTTTGCACCCACTCCGTGGATGGCTTTGGGTAGAGTCGTTAGGACTGTCGGGGCTTTGTTCCCCTCGGTCTTCTGTAACTTCTCCTGGCAACATACTGTAGTTTCCAGTCTGCAAATCTTTTATTTAACGCAACTGATTTTTATATGTTGACTTTGTATTTCGACCATTTCCTGAATTTGTCAGTTCCAGTGTTTTTCTGTGGAATCTTCAGGGTTTTCATCGTATCTGTGAACAGAGGTGACATTAACTCTTCCTTTACAATTTGGATGCCTTTTCTTTTCTTGCTTAGTTGCTCTGGTTAGGAATTCCAAGGCTGTGCTGGATACAAGTGGCCAAAGTGGGCATCCTGGTCTTGTTCCTGATTTAGGGGCAAAGCTTTCTGTCTTCCAGCATTTCACAGTATGTGGGGTTTTCATTAATATCTCTGCAGTATTGGAGAAATTCCCTTCTATTCCTAGTTTATGGAGTGGTTTTTATTATGAAAAGATGTTGGTTTTTGTGAGATGCTTTTTCTGCATCAACTGAGATGATTATGGGGGCCTTTCCCTTCATTTTGCTGCTCTCATGAATTACCTGGACTGATCTTCCCTTACTGAATCATCCTTGCCTCCCTGGGAGAAGTCCACTCGGTCCTAGTGCATAATCCTTCAGATATGCTCTTAGATTCAATTTGCTGGTACTTTGCTGAGGATTTTTGCATCTGTATTTGGAAGGGATATTGTTCTTTAGCTTTCTTTTCTTGTGGTGTATCTGTCCGGCTTTGTTTGTACATCGGTGTTGTTTTATATACAGTGTTTGGGGTCTGGGTAGTACTTCGGAGGAATCAGGAATAAGTGTCTACTCCCTGTCTCCACAAGCAGAAATCCCATATCCACTTTTAAAAACAAACTTTTTTTTATTTCTGAAAGCTCTGCTTACCATTCGTGCCAACTCTTTGAAGAACTGGGACAATAGGAGAGATTAGCCGCACTGTGATTGTGTCCTTCAGCCGCATTTGGAGGTCTGAGGAATCATGAGAAATGCGAAGGGTTTTCTGGCACTTGTGGAAAATTTAAACTCCTATACTGGAAAATCTTTTTAAAATCTTACAAACCAGGATTCTCCCAGAATTTGGACTGACTATATAGGAGGATTCTGGCTGTTTTCCTAGGATTCATGGAGTCAGGGAAGACAGAAGGGAAGTCGTCCTTAGAGCATCAGTCAGACCATTGTGATGGTTTGCTTCGTCTTGACGGGAAGGAAACTTCTATTGATGGGATCGAAGCGCTCCGTGTGTGGCCCTCGGGCACCCAACGGTGTCTCGCTCGCTGGTGGCACGTGTTCTCTGTGTCACCGGAGTTATGATCACAATAAATCCACTGTTCTTGGATTCTTATTTCTCTGTCCTATGGACCCAGTAGGTTTGATAAACAACTGAGTAATTTCCTTCAGTGGTTGCTAAGGAAGACCAAACCGTATTACCAACTCTCCATGTAAAAAGTGTTACTTTAGAAATATCACTTGATATTTACAATAAAATCTTAAATTACTACCCAAAAAAAAGCTTAACTCTTTATTCGTCAGCCTAAAAGAACAAAGTCTTATGTTTTCACGGCTCCGATTTGTATTCCCATGCTTACCTGTGTGAAATTTTGTAATCTATAAGGATTGTCTATATTGAACGTGGATATAAATAATTCAGATGTAATGACTCATCACGTTGAGGGCTCATTGACTTACAATTCTGTAGTTAGTCCTGATTAGTGAGAGGGGATATTGGGAAAGCTCTTGAAAGATAAAATTCCAGCAGAGTGACACTTGAATTCACATTAAGCGCTGTGCTGTTTCCTGCAGGAGGGACTTCGAACCTTGTGCGTTGCCTACAAAAGGCTTGTTCCGGAAGAATACGAAGGTGTTTGTGCACTGCTGCAGGCCGCCAAAGTGGCTCTTCAGGACCGAGAGAGGAAGCTAGCGGAGGCCTACGAGCAAGTAGAGAAGGACCTCATCCTGCTCGGCGCCACGGCTGTGGAGGACAGGTGACGTACGCGCCACGCCCAGCTTCAGAAGTAGGAGGTGGCGCTCTGAGGCCGCGGAGCCCGTGGGGTGCCCGGGGGACTGGCCGTGGCACCTCATGTCCTCACGTGGATGTGCATCCGCAGCAGGATGAGACTGGCCTCAGGGTGGCATCACCAGGAGGTCGTGCCTGGACGGTGTTTGACTTTCCGTGGATAAAGACCTGACATTCACGCTTTGCCAGACAGACCAGAACAGTTGGCACGTTCACACCGTGTCATCAGTAGTCAAGAGAGACGGTCATTTTTAAATCATTCTGTAGAGTTCAGTCATAATTCTGTTCCTAAATTTGTCACTAGCCCTTTCCAAGTCCAAGCGTAACGTTTTAGATGTGAATGTACTCAGGTGTATTTCTCATTTCTCCTTGAAGAAATGTAAAACTGTGAAGTAGAATGTTGCAAAAACCATGACTAACCACTGGTAAGATTACCAAGCCAGTGTCTTCCCGTGCTCCGAGGACGGAGCTGCCCATCTACCGCCATTCTGCGATGAGGCTGGACGTGAGTTCAGGCCTAGCACACTGAGACGCAGGCGTGTCACTGTTGCGACTCGAGACCTTGGACGGAAAGGAAAAGAAAAAATGCCCCAATTTAACAGAATGAAGTAGAAACATGAGGGCATTTACTGAAAGTTTATTTCCCGTAAAGGTTCAAAGTCTTTAAGGTGTAAGGGGGCCCGATGTTTAAGTCCTTACTGGAATCCTAGTTTTCCGGTGTCTTTAACAAGCATTCCACAGCTTCCCAATTTCAGTAAGGTGTCGGGTGACGTGTTTGACTTCAGTTTGGTGACTTAAGCCCCTCCCATCACTCAGGCGGGGGTCCAGGCACCAACACGGGGTGGGGGTAGCTTGTGCTCAGGACAGGCTTTAGAACATGACACCACCGAGGGTCTGCAGTGCTAGGAGGGAGGGGGACGTGCGTTGGGGTGCATTTGCCTGGGGAAGAGTGGGACGGTCCTCGAAGGAGGTTAGGGAGAGGAGAGTCTGGATGGGGGAACCGAGTCTGCATACCCTCATGAGGGCCGAGGGAGCAGATCAACTCAGTGGGGAGTTGGGACCTCGAAAACAGAGTAGGTGCCCAGGGACAGTTGGGGGCCAGCAGCTTTGAAGTGATGATATTCAGTCACAAATCATTTCCCTAAAATCCCTGACCAACGTCTCTGCAGGATGACCTTTCAGGTCCTCAGTTTCCGTTTTCAAAAAAACTGATGAAATTAGAGATGTTTTCCATGTCCCTGGAATGCTGAGGTCACGTGAGCACAAGGCTTTGCCAAGGAAGCTTGCCGAGTCTCATTGGGTCACCGCAGTTAGGATCCCATCCCGTCAGTGCTGGGCAGGGACACGGCACATTACTTCACACAGCTGTTGAAAGCCCATACGCTAAAATCTAGAAAGAATGGCAGGTCCCAAATGAGGCAGATGTCCACGCACAGCACGGCGGCCTGACCAGTGTGTGAGCCGCCCATCCTTGCACGAGTCTGTCCGGCCCACGAGCCCTGGGTTTTCCGCACCTAGCACAGGGTTGCTAACGGAGGCTCGCCCCATGAGCTCTGGTGGAGGGGATTCATCGCAGGCAGAATGCTTCCCATGGCATCTGACACGTGCCCAGCTTGTGGTGCACGCTAGCCAGTCGTGGAACCTGCTGGCTTTCTCGGGATTTTACCATATTCAGAGGTATCTGGGCTCCAGTGTGGTAAGTGGCAGAATTACAACAGTTTATGCCAAAGAAAAGGCAGTGAATACTACTGACTACCTCTTTTCCTGGTTCCATTTTCCCCTGGTTAAGACTTTTTTGGCGGTTATGGTCCTTCTTGTCATTGCCTAAAATCCTCTGCAAGTGGCGGAGCCCCAGCTAGACAGAGCAGCATGTGCTCACCGAATTATGCAAGATTGATGCTTTACTGCTTAACATCATGGGTGTTTCTGTGCTTGGAGTTAGGAAGTGCTTTCCTATAAAAAGTTAATACATAAGTATAAAAGCAGCTTCGGGTACCTCATGATAATATCACGAGCTAGCGGTGTGGGTTTTTTTTAGCTTGGGGGAATGGAAATAGTTTCCTAGGTTACAAATTTTGAGAATTCTTGTCTTCTCCCATGCCACACTCAGGCCTGTGTTCTCGTTTCTGCTTTGCTCAGGCTCCAGGAGAAAGCTGCCGACACCATAGAAGCCCTGCAGAAGGCCGGGATCAAAGTCTGGGTTCTCACCGGGGACAAGATGGAGACGGCAGCCGCCACCTGCTACGCCTGCAAGCTGTTCAGGAGGAACACGCAGTTGCTCGAGCTCACCACCAAGAAGATCGAGGAGCAGAGTCTACACGACGTCCTGTTTGAGCTGAGCAAGACCGTCCTACGCCACAGCGGGAGCCTAACCAGGGACAACTTCTCAGGGTAGGCAGTGCCCCTCTCCCGCCACGGGATGGCCACGCAGCCTCGGCACCCCTGTGGATGGTGCAGGTCCATCCCCGGGGGTCCTTGCAGCTCCAGCGGGACGCGCCAGGGCTATTTCTTTGTAGCAACTGTGGTGTGTTTTTTTGCAGAAGAGGTGTGTGTGTGTGTGTGTGTGTGTGTGTGTGTGTGTTCACTTTTAAATGCTGCTTAAGGATGCAGATTGATTTATAAAATACTGGGAATGAGATCATTCTCATCTGCTTATAAGGCACTCGGGCTGTATCGTGGATTCCTCAGGGTATCTGTCAGAGTGGAGAGAAATATTAATAATTCATGCTTATTTGTCAGGATATGCCCAAGAGTTGTTTTTTCCAAGAACATTCAGCAATATATTCACATTTTATCAATGCTGTCCTTGCTGGTATCAGATCCATGATTGAAGGTTAAGATTTCATGGGAATCGTTTTAGATTTTCATTAATGTCATAATGCAAAAGCAGCTTTCTCATCATATGCAAACGCTGAATTATTCATAAGTAGTGCAAGGATGTTTCCCTTCACCTGATCTGCAGGACTCCTCTGGGGGATCAGGGATGTTCTTGTAACTTTGAAACCCAGCAGAAAGACGTACTCTGACCGTGTTCTTTCCAACTCACGTCCTCCAGGCAGGATGCCCAGGAGGGGTTCGCGGCAGGGCTGCAGCCTGAGGCTGGCCACCGTGGCCGGGGCTCGGGAATAAAGACTGACCTCTGCAGGCTGCAGGATACACGCTCTCGGTCGGCTTTGCCAGAGTAGCGGAGTGTGCACACAAAACCGCAGCTAGAACTCGGTGTTTGCTTTGCCTCGGTGGCAGGAGAACGTTAATTAAACCTCAGTTTTAACATGTGGTCGAGGGCGTTCTGTCCCGTGCTTTAAAGACTGTGTTGATAAAACGAGGAATACCGGTTTCTTAATCCCTTGATAATCAGTTTATAACATCTGCAGATATCCGAAAAACAATGATAGTCTTCTGAAGTCCGTGCACTTCGCTCCTGAGTCACGTCTCTGATTTGTGTGATTGAACAGACTCTCAGCCGACATGCAGGACTACGGTTTGATCATTGACGGAGCGGCGCTGTCCCTGATCATGAAGCCCCGTGAGGACGGGAGCTGCGGCAACTACCGGGAGCTCTTCCTGGAGATCTGTCGTAACTGCAGCGCTGTGCTGTGCTGTCGCATGGCGCCCCTGCAGAAGGCTCAGGTCGGCCCCCATCTCAGCTGGCCCCGGGGGGGCGGTGGGGGAGGCAGACATCCAGGGCCTCCGGCTAGTTCTTACAGCCTCTCATGGTTTTCTTTTTCCAAACCCAGCAAGGCACCACCTTTTTTAAATAGAAGCACAAATGGTAGCAATTTTCAACCTGGATCTTACTTTGCTTGTCGTGATTAGGTGAGAGTTGGCCGGATCAGGTGGATACGTCTCCCACTGGAGGCTGGGAAGCCTGGCTCTGCACGACCTCTCGTGCAGAGGGGACCTCATTCTAAGACTCTGTAGGAAGGACGGGAGGGCACGAGTGCATTATGACGCACCTGCTGTTGGTGTCCCCTGACGGATGCAGCTCTGAACCCCTACAGAATGATAGCGTGTGAGGGGCGTTATGCTGATCGCACAGAGGAGTACTGAGACACAGAAAACTGGGATAACTTGTCTACAAGGATATATTTGGAAACTGGCAGTCCACATATGGCTTCTAGCCTGTTGGACTCCAGACTCCTGTCCTACCCAGCCCACGTGGTCTGTTGGAGACCCACACGTGACGTGTTTCTTTTCAGTGTTTTGTAAGGCATCGTAGAAGACGTGTGTGAGCATGGGTGTGTTTCTGGCATCAGTAAACCTACAGCACATCTCACTTTGTCGAGCCACTTTAGAGATGCACGAGACCAGTCTGTCTTCAACTGTTCATGAAAGAAATGCAGCACTTCTCAGACTGACGCAGGGGTTAGGGTAAAACACTGAAAACCACGTGTGAAGCGCCATTTCTCACATTTCTAGCATCCCTCTAGCCTCTAGAGGCACACCAGGACCCCCTCCCCACGGGCGCCCGCGAGCACCAGCTGAGACCCAGGAGCGTGGCTGCCGTCCTGCCCTGCCTCGTCTTCTGTGTCAGGCTCCACGTAAACCCCTGTCGTCCTGTCCAGACGGGCAAACTGAGGACTCTGTGTTTGATTTTCATGTGTTACATGGTCCCTTTTTTTCAGTTTTTAACTGATTTTCAAAAAGGTTTACACACGTTAGTGTTTCAGGCTCGCATCTTGAAATGGCAGGCAGTCCACACGTGGCTCCTCATCTTCTTGGTCTTCTACCATGAACCGTAGCACTTAGACACATAGACGGAGAGGAAGTTGCCGAGAAATGGACAACACGCTGGAAATTATTAATTGTATTGAGTTTCCAGATTGGATTTGCACACGTGACAACTTTGAGGATTAAAATAGCGTGAGAAGCTGCTTATTTATAAGAAATGCATGCTCGATAGCAAATAGCTTGGCATGGACGTGTCTTCTAGCGGAACGTGCTGTTCAGGTGTCCCCAGAGGTCTGCCTGGACCCCGTCTGCTGAATCTGTGCGTGTAGCAGGAGCGGATAGCAGTTGCCCACCAGCCTTTTCCGGTTTATTCCCTGGTAGTCACACGTTAGCTGCCTTCTCTTTACTGTGTCGGGGTTCCAGTGTGAGGATTCATCCTGGACGCAGAGAGCAGACTGAACGTAGGAGCTTCATACCAAGCCGATCATTGTTCTGTCTTCCTTGGCTGACTTGACATCCATGTTCTTTCTGCCTAGTTAGCGATCTGTGCAAACAAAACAGAAGATAAATGCTGATTTGTTTATTTTCCAGATTGTTAAATTAATCAAACTTTCAAAAGAGCACCCTATTACTTTAGCCATCGGCGACGGCGCCAACGACGTCAGCATGATCCTGGAGGCGCACGTGGGCATCGGTAAGCTGCCCACATCCGGTGCCCGTGAGGCGGGGAGGGGAGACCAGTGGCAGGACCGAGGGGCGCAGGTGCAGGGCGCGTGTGGGTCCGAATGTTCTCGTCGCCAGTGTTTGGTGGCTCCCCATTTCGCTTCTTGCTGCTTCCCCTCACACGGTGCTGAGAGTGGGTCTCCTCCTGCAGGCGTCATTGGGAAGGAAGGTCGTCAGGCCGCAAGGAACAGCGACTATGCAGTCCCGAAATTTAAGCACCTGAAGAAGATGCTGCTCGTTCACGGGCATTTTTATTACATCAGGATATCTGAGCTTGTGCAGTACTTCTTCTATAAGGTAGGAGGGCATCCGTGCTGCGGCTGAACGTGGTGCGCTGAGCATCTCTCTGGTGCTTTGAGGGGCGGCTCAGGGAGAGACAGAAGGGCCAGCAGGGAGGGGGTCCTCGCATTGTCCCTGAGAGAGGAGGTGCACCACGCCCCTGCGCACACAGATTCGGCACGGAACCAGCAGGAACCTTGCGTTGTCACGTGACTGAGGGAAGGCCACTGTTCCGTGCGTCCTGGCGATGGCTCCTTATTCGTCCGCTCTCAGACTCTCTCCTGGCCATGCTCAGGCCCCGCTGCACCCTCATTCCTCCATAGGCGGCATTCTTGGACGCTGTCTGCTCACGGAGCAACCGGAACGCGTGCCTCCTAGTGCCATTAAAATAAGAGCAGACTTTACGGCCCCTCACCCACCCTTCTGAGAACACAGCACACTGTGGGGTCACTTCCTGCAGATGCGGCCTATGACCGGGACAGCTGAGGAGGGTAGATGTGTCTCACGGCGTGCTGTTGAACTAACTAGCGTGTGGCTTGCCTTTCAGAATGTCTGCTTCATTTTCCCTCAGTTTTTATACCAGTTCTTCTGTGGATTTTCGCAACAGGTGAGTCCTACTGTCTGAGTCAGAAGCTGCCCTGGGCCTTACCTCCCTGCCCTTGTGGTGGTGAAGGAGAGAGCAGGCTGCAGGGGCGAGGAGGCTGTAAGGGGGAGCAGGCCGCAGGGGCAAGTAAGCTGTAAGGGGGTGCAGGCTGCAGGGGCGAGGAGGCTGCAGCGGTGAGTAGGCTGTAAGGGGGAGCAGGCTGCAGGGGCGAGGAGGCTGTAAGGGGGAGCAGGCTGCAGGGGCGAGGAGGCTGTAAGGGGGAGCAGGCTGCAGGGGTGAGTAAGCTGTAAGGGGGCGCAGGCTGCAGGGGGCAGCAGGTCAGGGGTGCAGTGCCCTCCACCTCGCACCCCTGTGCAGCCCGGTCCACAGGCAGGTTCAGGAGCAGACGTGGAGTGGCCACTGTGGCCGATGCCCAGTGGCTACCGTGGGCTTGCTCACGTGGCCCATCAGCAAGGTGCCCAGCTCACCTGCCCCCAAAGGCTGTGGCGGCTTTCTGCCCCTAATGGAGAGGATTGAGTGGGCATCTGAGGCCCTCGCCGGGTGCCTGATCGTCAGCATCTGGCACACTTGGGTGCCGAGCTGCCCAGGAGAACAGCGGCCCCTCGGGGCATCCCCTTCCCGTCACATCCCTGCTTCTGCCCGAGGGGCCGGGACTGGAGAATATTGAAGCTTGAAGGTGGCCATCAAGATTGCAGACTTCTCCGCAACTGTTTTTTTTTAAAGATTTTATTTAT